ACGTCTAATTGCCCGATCAATTACTGGGTGAATTTCCATTGGTCGAAGATACTGTCGGAAATGGTTGGCAATCCAACCCTCGTATGGAATTATGAAGAGATGCGTGTTCACTCTGTGCCGGGGTCCGACAGTGTGACAATTGGGCTCGCACGTAACAGCGCAACCATGAGTTTCGTGCCTCATGTGGTTTCGCGAGTTTAAAATAACACGTTCGTACAAAGTAGTTTCGCTCACGAAATCGAGTTACCATCGATTCAATCGCGAGCTACAGAAATGATCCGCATCCATTTAGCTAACCTGAATCACGGTGTTTCACCCGATCAATTTCAAGCCGATCGTGTTCTTATCTCTGAGTCACACAGCACAGAAAATTAGGGTTGTCGTTGTAGTCACGCTACTATAGCTCCTAGGTCTTAGTCCGGGACAGCTCCACGTAGCATCACCTCGTAATTACATATCACAGCTGCGGACGGCGCGTTGCATATCGTTACTATGACAGGTCGCGCCGCTAGAGGTAGGAAGGCCGCGAAAAACACCCGTGATGACACACGGGCTGGGAAACTCTCTCGAAAACGGGAAAATGCGTCACAACCCGACGTAGAGTCTGGCGAGGATGACGGGCGTCGTCGAAGCGATAGGCTGAAGTTGGCGCATGCACACTACTCGTCTACTAAAGAGCAGGGCGCCACGAATCTTGAGCCGGTGGTATTGAATAAGGTAGCCCCTCACGATTACGGCCTGGAGCCCCCGTTTGACTCACCGTCGGTACACTCTCCGCCGGACGACCTTATCACAAAAATCACGGCAGATGTTCAAATCCCGTTTCTAGATACTCATGAGGAGACTAGCACTATTGCGGCCAAGTTAAAGCATCCATTGTTTCCCACCAATGCGATTCGTGATCATCACGGAATGACGGCAATTATTTCGTTGGCCGATGCTCTCCACATCACCGACAACCAGCCGATCACGCAGCCGTTGATAGATTTTCATAACATGTGAGTGTCACACCGCGGACATGCTGTATCATTTGCTGCAGTTGTGGGGCCATTATCACGATGGCCGGTCTTGTTGCCATACCCACATCTTCTGATTCTAACGCAAACGACTCCCTATTGCTTTTGACCTATTTAATGGCTGTGTAAACGCAGAGTGCTGAACATCCGCCAGCCCAAGTTGAGCAACGGCAAGACGTGGCTCGCGTTGGACAGTCAGAGTTACGACTACTTCTGCTCTCGAGGCAAGATAGCCGAATGTGTCACGGGACCGTCGATCTTCAGCTACGACTATCTGGCCATGCCAATCTATGGCGGGTAAGTTGCAGTATCACGATTCGCTAGTCTCTCCAACTCTCTAACGTCTTCTGCCGTTGTAATGCCTAAGCACTGACAAATATTGTGGATTAACGAACGATGCAGGTTTCATTTCAGTGTCATGATTGTCGTCAACCCTGGAGTTGTGACTCTCCCGCTCGACGAGGACAGCACCACAGAGCCTGCGTGGTTGCTGCTATACGACTCTTTCGGGATGCATGCTGTGGGGGGCAATGCTTTCAAGAACATGACCAAGTAAGTTTTTTTTTGGGGTGCGTACGACCATTCCCACACAAGCACTCCAACATAGCTCTGCTAGCTTATGTCTCACTAAACCACACACTAATCCGCCTTTTTTATATCACAAATTCGACCGGGTGACAGCTTGCTTGGCATGGCCTTCGAGAAGGAGCATGGCAACCGCACGGTAGAAGAGATGAAGGCGAGGCTTGGGCGCTTCAAGCCACACGTCATGGAGGTGAGTTGACTTGAATAACGCTCGTCAACCATGCTACAACATCCCGTTGTCAAATGATTCTACATGCCACCCCTTGTCAAATGATGCTCGTGTACTCTATTGTTCTCATTTATGCTGCATGTGGCATTGGTGTTTAGCAGGCGTGGCAAATGCCTCTGCAGCAGAATGAATATGACTGCGGCATCTTTGTATGCCAGTACATTCAAGCGCTAGTGGAGGCATGCTTCGAAGGTGCTGAGCATGGGGTCCGGTTCAGCATGAGCCCACTGGCATACCGGCGTGTTATACGGGAGGATGTGTGCGCCCTGGCAGAAGGACGGCTGATCGGGGAGCTCATAGCAGCTGGGCATGAGATCCCTCCTGGCAATGAGATTAGGAAACCACCTGAGTTTGAGGTGATTGGCGATGAGGTGGAGGATAGGGAGTGGAGAGCGGAGATGGCAGAGCGGATGCATAGGCTGGAGGTTCGAAATGAGAGTCAGGCAGTGGCTATTGCCAAGCTCGAGAGGCAACTGCGTGAGCTGATGCTGTCCCGTACTCCACAGCCGGGCATTGGCGGTGTGGATATAGGGGAGGGACATGGTGATGTGGGAGGGGACGTTGCAGGAGAGGGACATGTTGATGTGGGACAGGTAGCTACAGGGCAGGGACATGGGGATGCGGGAGGGGATGCTGTAGGGGAGGGACATGGGGATGTGGGAGGGAACAACGCTGGCACACATGACAGCATGAGAGGTGCACATGGCGAGGGTCCTGAGGCTGACGTTGAGGCGGGTGTAGGTGGGATTAACAGTAAGCTTGAAAAAGATGGAGATGGTGATATGGCGGACGGTGCGAGGAGGGACAATGAGGAACTGGGGTTGCGTGATGAAGGTGCCAAAGGGTTGTTGGGTACTACGGATGGTAACAGAGGTGCAAGAGAGGCCGTGGGTGCTGGGCATGGTGTGACAGCCTCGAACGCGGATGTGGATTTAGTGTCCGCCCACAGCACAGGGACAGAGACAACGAGTCGCAACACTGCGCGTGGTCGAGCTCCTAGCTCTGGCTATACTGGCGTAACCAAACGGGAAGGTAGGTGGGCGGCACGACTGTGCGTAGATAGCACAAAGAGTAAGTTTTTAGTGCTTGGACGGTATACGGAGATCTTGGATGCCGCAAAAGCATATGCCGCAGCCGCCCACATTTGCCGACCGTCCCTCTCCAGCTCAACGATGGTGGAGTTGAGCGTGGAGGAGAGGCGGTGCTTGGAGGGACTGACGACGCAAGGGGTTGCAAGGATAGTGGAGGCCAAGCGGTGGGCAGAGTGGAGGAACTGGCGAGAAGTGCTCGGCAGCCTCCCTGAGCCTTCCATCCCAACGCCAGCAGGAGTACACTACACAGGCTCCACCCCCCTTTTCCCACCAGCACCCTGGAGCCACGTTTGGCAACTACCACCCGCCAGCCGCCGCCTTCGCGGGACACGCCGGTGCAGCCCTTAACCCTGGTGCATGGCAGCCGTACAATCAGAACCGCCCTCCTCCCAACCTCCATTTTCCATCCCAGCAGTTTGCTTTCAACCAAATCCCAAACCATCCATTCAGCCAGGTGCAAGCCCCTATCCCCGTACACCCAACCCCTTCATTACCCATTGCTCCCAACCCTGCAGGCCATGCCGCTTCACAGAACACAGCACCCCATCCGCATGTCCTACCAACACCACCATCCGTTGCACCCAGTACGGCACATCCAGTATCTGACCCACAAACCCAACCAGTCCGACCCGCAGGGCAAACTGGACAGGTCAGGGTACATGGCCTGACATATTCACAGTCGACTTCTCCCAACAATCCCAACCCAACGTCCCACGGCTCCGCACTGGCAAGCGAGCCAGCAACAGGTGAGATGTGTGGTTGTGTCATATTAGTGCTTATTCATATGCTGTAGTTTCACTAAACTCTGCATTAATCTAATGAACTTGTTTGCTAAACCTGTGCAGGGGCGGCGGACGACATCATCGATGCCTTTCTGCACAATAACTGATGAGACGTATGGTCAACAATGACATTGCGTGCTCAGTACACATCAAATCTACGTAATATCATTGTAGCCATGCGTAGAGGTCGACATGCCTACAGATACAATAAACCCTATGATTGCTAAATGAACGGACCGCACAGTGTTATAAAGATACAATGGCAAAACACCGGTAGTGAACGTCTCCCGATTCTATTAATATAGTTGTTTACTAATAAAACAGATCGCACACACATTCGAGCACCACATATGCGCGCTCATATAGGTAAATGCGCGGTTTTATATGAGCGCGATCTTACATGACCGCGCCTGATTGGACGCGCAAGGTAAAAAAGTACTTTACGCATAGAGTCGAACCAATCACACGCGCTCTGTAATTGGTCGCGCGTGTGGACAGTCGTGCAATTGAGTATATGATCGGGAATTCATATCTCTATGCGCGGATTGGTCAATCATTGGACCGAAAATGAGCGCGACTGTTCGCCGAACATGATCGTGTTGATTATTGTCGTGTATTCGAACGATGACGTGGCCGCTCTCGCGCACGTCACCCAGCCGAAAAAATCGGGCGGAAAAACACACGCCACGTTTTTGCGGGAAGAGTTACGAACGACGTGAGAAAAGCAGGGCTAAAAACCGGTTTTGGGTAATGTGCCGGATAAAAAAAAAGCCAGAGGAAACCTCTGGCAAGACCACTCGAGCAATTATCATCAAATTGTCCGACTACGGTAGCAAATTGAGCCTACGTGTGCAACGGCAAATCACCGTTTCCGGGTCTGGAGAAAATCTCTCTTGTGGCCGCCTTGATTTTCCCATCATCCACCTGTCATCGATTCCACCGACTGCACGCCTGACTCGAATCATACAGCTTGCGGGAATGTGCTGTTTGGATCCAACGGTCCGCGCATGAGTCACCTTCACCCTCACTCCTTCCGCTGCCCCCACTCGCCCGCCCGCCCGCCCGCGTGGCATCATCCGTGCACTGTTTTGAGTATCTCCCCCAAACGGAAGCGGTCCAACAATCGAGACTGCACCGCACAGAATCACGGAAAGTCCTAGTTTCCTCCAGCCACTCCTTGTTCGGCCTAGTTAGTCTTCATTCAGCCTCTTCAGTCTAGATTGCTGCTGCTTCTTTACCACCTATCAGTTCTTCTGTGCATGCATTAGTTACCTGTGCTTCATCGTCATTATCGGAAATGTGTGGAGCGTCACATACCTCTTTCTCCTTTCCTGTCAGTAATCCGTCGTTCCTGCTACCTGATCTGCGTCCGTCCAAATCCATTGGCTCCTCCTTTCTCGTAGACGCGTCGATGCAATCAAGCGATGAGGATCACGCGCTTCCGTTATCTCTCTCAACCATAACTCCTCCATCGTCCAATGCTCCCCTTAACGACATCCCCTCATCACAGCAGCAGCACATAGATCGGAGGTGCTTCCAGGAAGTCGATTTCTTTCGACCCCGCGCAGAACCTTCCGCTGTTAGACCCTCCCCGGCATCGGTCGCTGCAACCGAGTCGGCTCCCGCCTTCGCACCCGCTACTATCGCCGCGGCACCGGGTTCTTTGTCTCGTCATGGGGCCCATCGAAGTGCTGAGGCAACGACACACCCGTGTGTCGACTACTCAGTCGTATCCGTAACACCCCATCAGCGCCTCCCCTCGGAGCAGCAGAAACCGCCGTCGGCGGGTCGATCCCCGTTATTGGCGTCTTCGTTAATGGCGTCAGTTGCCGAGTGGTCCAACGTGATGATGCCGCCGCCCGCAACAGCAGGGACTGCCAAGAGCCTTCTGCCAGGCTCCTCGCTCGCCAACGATCTGCACAGACCCGTTACCGCCCTTCGCCGACCGACGCTTAACCCGTTCAGCGACAAGCCGCGGGGAGACGCGGCACCGGCGCCGGAAGCTGGCGACGGGTCGGCGAAAAGGCCTCGATGCGAGAGCCCGTCGCATCAGCTGCTACCCAGCCTGAGCAGCAGCACGGCCTGCACCGCCAATATCCGCGATAGTAGCCACCCCGCGATTACACGGTCTGGCCTATCCAACCCGGCGCCACCCGTCCCAAGCAAGTTCTCCTCGGCGAATCTCGTGCAGGATATTCAGAAATCGGCGCGCGGAGACCTGTCGCTGGACCTTCCCCCGCCGTGCTGCTCCTGGATGTGCATCTACTTCTCCGTGCCGTGCCGCAAGAAGCGCCGCCTCGCGCCGTCCTCTACCACCAGCGGAAGGACCAACAGCGTCAGCGCGGCTGTTAGCGGAAGCATGATCAGCGGCGGTGGTGACAGCGGCGTAATCAGGAGGCGGAGGGCGGCTCGCCCTGCCGCACTTCCAGCTTCAAGCGGTACCAGCCTTTCCGGCGCGGCGGGAGCTCCGCGTAACCCGCCGCGGCAGCCGGTGGGCAGGGGGGGCATGAAGGAGGAGCGAGAGGTATGGGCAAGGGAGGACCAATCCAAGGCCAGCGGTAGTAAAGGCGGTGCGCATCTGGCGAGATGTGAGAGTGCGAACGGCGGGGATTCGTCGGTGCACGGAGGCTTAAATACCGTGCTGACGTCAGCGTTTGCAGCAGCACGAGGCGGTCCGTCAGCAGCACGAGAAGACGGCATGTTTACACCGGCTTCCGAGCTGGGAGTGGGGAGCCAGCCAGCAGGCGCGTCGGCTTCCGAGCTGCTGGCGTCGTACGCGGCGTCGGGCTGCGCGTCGCCTGCTCTCCGCGCGTTCCTCGCACTCTCTCCGAACCTGTCGGCCCTGCTCAATCCGTCCGCGCTCCCGGCTGCTGATGGTGCGTCCACGCTGCTGAGGCGTCTTCAGAGTGACTCGGCTGCTGCCGCCGTGGCTGCTGCCACTGCTGCTCGCATGCACCTGCTGCAGCAAACCTCTGCCGCGCAGCAGCAGCAGCAACAACAGCATCAACAGGTGGTGTTACAAGAGCAGCAACAACAGCAGCAGCAACATGTACTAGTACAGCATCAGCATCAGCAGCAGATGGTGCAGCAGCAACCACATCCACAAGTGGTGTTACAAGAGCAGCAACAACAGCAGCATCAACAACAGGTACTACACCAACAGCAACAGCATCAAATCCAACAGCAACAGCATCAAATCCAACAGCAACAGCATCAAATCCAACAGCAACAGCATCAGCACCAGCAGCAGCTGATTGAATCAAAAGCAGACAACAGTTCTCAACCACAACCACGGCAGAAAATGATGCATGACAGTTCAGCATCTCACCGTACTTCGATGAGCGACAACACAAACCATGACAGAGCAGCACCGGCCTTAGCGTTTCCCTCCTTAGCAATAGCATCAGCACCAGCACCATCCTTAGCAGCAGCAGCAGCAGCAGCACCTACAACTGCCATGGACAGCACCCTTCCCCAGCAGCCGTCCTTTCCCCAGAACACGCCTTGGCATGCGCCGGCTCCCCTCAGTGGTGGCGGCTGTGGCCATTCCGCTGCGGATCCCAGCAGCGATCGAGTGTCGGGTTTTATCGCAGCGGAGTCAGGCCGGGATGCTTGGAAGACCAAGGCTCTTGACCTCTCCCTGCGGTTGTGACACATCAGTTTGGGGATTTGGCTGGGAATTAGGGTAGGTCAATAGGATTTTTCATGGCTGACCATGTTATTATTGTGTTGATTGTACAGTCTTGACACATTGAGCATCTACCTATTCCTCACAGGATAAAGACCACAGCATTTGAACTTTATTTAGCTTTTATGGTAAATGTTGTTTGCTCTTCAAGATCAGCTGTTCATATTTTCGTACGAGTTGCACCATAATGGGCTACTTCGCACAGGACCGCTTACCACTCTCTCCCACCCTTACAAACCGGACTTGGCATCTGGCTGGCTGCAACTGACACACGTCATGTCTGAATGTCACCTTCCTGAATGTGGAAACATTTTGTCACCTCCATCCCTTGTATCTCAACTGTCAGTGTGTATGTAATTTATGTGCGAGCCGCCTCCGCGTGACGTCTTAGCGTCGGGATTGGACGCTCGCACGTAGCGAATTCAATCCCACCAATCGAACGTCGCTCATCTCTTCCATGTCGGCCTCAGCTGCAGCAACAAATGCGTTTTTAGTCTCTCAATTCCGGGTGACCGAGCGACCACCGTGCACTTCCAGTTGCAATGGAGTAATGCAGGGTCCGCCCTCCAGCAGCAGCACCCGCAGCAGCGGTCGGAGCGATGCGCGGAACAGTAGCGTCGGCGGAAGAAGGGGGGTGGCGAAAGGCTCATCGCAGTGGAGTGGCCGGCGGAGGGAGCTGTGCGCTGCTGTTGGCGGATCAGGGGGAAGTGGAGGGGGAGCGGGGGGAGGAGGCGATAGCATGGACAAAGTCCGTCTTTTGATTGGTGGGATCGTAGGACGCTTTGTCGGTTTCCAGTTAGTAACCTTTGTCAGTTTGTTTGTTTGTTTGTTTGTTTGTTTTTTATGTAATGCTAGTGCATTAGCATTGGAGGAAGGTGTATCTGGATTGACATTAATTCAGAAATTTCTTTCATGGCTGCAGGTATGGCGACAAGGGATGACAAGAAGCGAGGATTTGGCCCGCCTCCTCCCAAGGACAAGGCAGCTGGCTCCGGATTCGTAAATCTGACAGGTGAGTGATATGACTTACTGACACATGCTAATCTCAAAGGTGACTTAGTGCTGGCAAGTCACAATGGCATCGTCAATCTCACAGATGGCTGATGATTCGTGTCCGTTTGACGTTTGACATGTGACGTAGTGTCATTTTGCAATTTCCCTCCGCCTAAAGCTTCTCCAAAATTCCCCAATGCTGATCCTCAGGTAGAGAGGACCTGATGGCTGGTCGCAGGGAATTCGACCTTGCCTTTTCTTCCTCCACGCCCCCCGAAGCCTTGCTGGCTCAGGCTCGTGCCCGAGCCAAGGCGCGGACCATTGCTCAATCTCAGGCTCGGAAAGGCGAAGGGTTGAGTGGTGGGGAGGAATCAGACGGTGATGCGGAGGGGAGCTGGCAAGTCGACAATGAAATTAGAGGGGCTGATCTAGAAAGGAACGGCAGCACTGGCTCTGTGTCTGCAAGGGCAGGGAGTGGAGTGGATGGAAAAGCGGCTGAGCATACCACTACTGGATTTCCACTTACCTTTACTGGCCTTCCCTTGGATCTGACGCCAAGTCAAACAGTGATATCAGCTGGCATGCTCGCGGTAACGGCACTAGCTGTGGGGAAGGGATCAAGTGACATCTTGTCTGATGAAGTCATTTGGCTACTGCGGGTGAGTTCCAACCAGTAGAACGTCATGCTTCTTGCAACTTTTACCATCTCGGGCGTTTCAAGAGTACGTGTTATTCCCTTGTATCTCAGTTGTCAGCTCCCAGAAATCAGGCACCTTGGCCGATTTAGTCTGTCTCCACTCTTCCTCTGCTGCTCTCTGTCGCTATGTCCTCTCATCTGCAACCCACTGTCCCAGGTGTGGATGGCCATCGCTTGGACAACTCACTGCTCTCTTGGTGCATTTGCTGCCTTCATATGCCATCAATCAGGTGCGAGCGGCTGCTTGCATTGCTTTTTTGTCTCATAAAAAAAAATCATTACTCATTGCCTATCCTCACAACATTCTTTTTGTTGTGACAGGCAACCAGCTGTCTGCATCATCTGCAAGCAAGTGGTTTTTCAAGATATCGCTAGCTGGTTTTATAGCCTTCTCTGAGTTTTGGAACGTTTGGAGACCACGTGGAGGCTTGTAGTCACTCCTAGTGAACACCAGAGTCTGAACAGATCTGTGCTGCCACATCAGCGGGAGCCCTCGAGTCAAGCAGATGGAACAGCAGACACAGAGGGAGAGAATTCTTGTGCCAAGACAAAGAGTATGCTCGTGCTAAAAGCAGCGGATGCTCTTGGTGCCACGTCATGCTACTCAACTTCACAACCACCTTGGCTGTGCATGTGAGGACCATGGCAGAACTGTGTATGTACAAAGGCTGGCATTCTTTTCCGCCAATGGCTTTGGTGCTGGAAGTTGGGACTGACAAGCAGGAGAGTGAATGCTGTAGTGGTTGACAGGCTGACAAGGTAGGCACCACTGCTGATAAAATAGACTCAGGTGAGTAATGACAAGATGGTGGTAGTGCTTAAATATTACGGGTTTTTTCGATGACATGTAAATACCTGATGGTATTCAAACATTTCAACAGTCGTAAATGCGAATAGATCATTGAATTTTTGGGGAGAAGAAGAAGCACCGGTGAGTAATTGAACTGGATGAAACCAGCCCCTATGTTCTCATATTGTAACTAAAGTGTGCTGCCATCATAGAGTTGAGTTGAGAGTTCTAGCTTACTACGCACAAGTTCGTTGTAACGGATGACGCCTATTTCATGGTTTGGGAAGTGGACGCTGGTGTTTGGCGACTGGCTTCCCCAACCAAACTCAGTAGAAAAGATAGGGGAAATCGCGACTGATGTCCCCAGCATTCAGTGGAAAGGTGACGAATTGGACTAATTGACCGCTTGGACTCTCAGTGCCCTTGGAATGGAATGGTCCCAGCTATCGCAAAAGCAACTCGGGGAGTCTATCCTGTTCCTGCTCGCAGCCCCACTCTCTCAGCGACATTTAGCCTAAACCTTACCTTGGGGTTCCAGCCCCCATGACTCCGGATCACCCATGAAATAGGCGGAGGTTTGCTGTGTTTCGAAAACCAATTTCGATATGCCTCCTGGCGCCTGGTGGAGCCAGCTCGAGATGGCTGAGGCTTTCCCGTACCGGAGGTCTGGTTCTCCAAACCTACAACAGCCCTCCAAGCAGCATTGAGCCGAGAGGCTGACGTGCCATTCATCCTACATGGCTGCTGTACAGCCTGGCTCAGGCGTGCGTGTGGCGGTTGCCAGCCCACATCAACCATTTCACCCACGATACGCGGTCGGAAACCGCCAAGTGTGTTTTCCCGCCTTCCGCCGCTTGGGGACCTCAGAACCCTCCAGAAATATTGGACACAGGCCCTTCGCCGGGCGAATGAGCTGAGCAACCCTCGCCAAACATTCGGAAAGCGAGCCGAAAGTGGCGATCTTCTTGAGGCTGTTCAGCCAATCATAGCGCTGTTATCTCGCTCTCCGTCATCCTTCCCCATCCAAATCCAACGGAGGAAAAGGCTAGTGCTACGTCAGCAACGTCGACGGTGACGTTCAGGATAAGGCCTTATCGCACAAACGAACAAGAACTGACGGTATAGATTTGTTGATGACGCAAGTGTGCGGGAGACGGTGATGTGATCACGCGTGCGAGTGCGTCACTTTCGACGCAAGTGACTGGACAGAAACGTGTCATTTTTCCACTGTTGAGAGGCCATGTTGCGTTGCGGTGCTGTCGCCTCCTGTGAACAGAGGGCAGCAACAGCAGCACTCCTCCCCCTCTCCCCTCCAATTCTCCTCGCTGCGCGTCTCGTGGCATCCAAGCAGATCCGAGTTCGACCAGGCCTGCCTGCCAGAACTGTGAGCAAACGGGCCCTTGGTGGGATGGAGGTGGTGGTGTTTCTCTAGTTGGTCCTTCGGTTCTGTAATCACGTCCTCTTCTCGCGCGAGTTCCTCTCATCGCTATCTACACTCGTGTGAGGGGCGCTGGGTTTGGCCCCTACCCCACCCCAGCCAAGTTACCGCCTTGGCGGCGCTTGTTGGTGGTTGCTTTGGGCAGAACCAGACCGGAGGCCTGTTCATGAACGTGTAGCTGATCATTAGTCGCTCTCTTGATCATTCATGCTTGATTGCTTCCCGCACCCGCTGCTGTTCCGCTCCGCACCTGTCGTTGTGCGACGTAGTGTAACTGGGTTTGGTTAGCCGTCTGCTGGCATTGGCCTCCGCAAAACCCTCACCCTCGAATGGCCAATTAACCAAGGGAAACCATAACTTTTAATTCCTCACACGGGTCGCATTGCCTGATCAACACTAGCAACGCTGCTTGTGCGATCTAGATCTGAAAGCAGAAAATGAGTTGCAACGGATGTAGGGTCCTGCGGAAGGGATGCAGCGAGAGCTGCGTGTTGCGCCATTGCCTGGGGGGAATCGAGGGCGCGGAGGCGCAGGGTCATGCCACGCTGTTCCTCGCCAAGTTCTTCGGCCGCGCGGGTCTCATGGGCTTCGTCACGGCCGTTGACGAGGGTCAACGCCCAGGTACCCAATTGGCCCATTGTTTCCCGCGTTTGTGCCGAGAAGCAGCGAATTCCGGCGCTGCGATTGGGTTCAGTCCAGCGACGTGGCCTCCGTCTCCCCTGCTCGTGCTCTCCATTTCGCACCGCCTCTAAATTGCTCGTGTTGAAATCCTCCAGATTCCAAACTGGCCACGCTGCATTTTCTTAATTGCGGACGGATATCACACCAGGTCTCATCTTTACCCAGCGTCTCGCGTTCTCGTTCAGTATCATCACGAAACCCTCAATTGTGCCTGTCATTCCCCCATTCCCCCATTCCCCATCTCCGCCTCTCCGCCTTTCCGCCCGGCAGCGCTATTCCAGTCGTTGCTGTTCGAGGCGTGCGGGCGAACCATCAACCCGGTCTTCGGCTGCGCGGGGCTGCTCTGGACGGGCCAATGGCACCTCTGCGAGTCCGCCGTCGATACTGTCCTCCGAGGCGGCTCCATCCACCCCAATGCCACCGCCAGCGCTGGCGCCAATCCAGCCGCGCCTGGAAGCGTCGCACCCGGCGCAGCGGTCTCCGCAGCAGCGCCTCCGCAGTCCTCCGCACTGCCTTCCGCGGGAGTGACGCTGCCGTCGTCTGGGTCCGTTGTGATGGTCCCCACCCCCGCGTCCGCGCCCGCCACGTCCGGAACGACGTCCGGAACCACCGCCGTCGCCGGCGCAGGCGCGTCCTCCCCTCCGCTCCCCGTCGCTTGCGCCCCGGGGGTGGCAAACCACCGCCTTGGGATCTCCGCGTCGCCGCTACCGGCGCTTCCGGGCGCGACGGCGGCGTCCGCGGCATCGTCGATGGTGCCGTTCGGAATGCACCCGGGACACGTGCAGCACCTGCAGCAGCAGCAGCAGCAGCAGCAGCAGCAGCAGCAGCAGCAGCAGCAGCAGCAGCAGCAGCAACAGCAACAGCAGCAACAACAGCACCTGCAGCAGCAGCAACAGCAGCAGCAGCAGATGATGCATCTGCAGCACATGTACGCCGCTCAGTCGATGTACCAACCGGCAAGCGCGGCCATGTACCAGCAGACCATGGGGAATGTCGCGATGGGGTCTGCCGCAGCGGCAACGGCGGCAGCCATGGATATGATGCAGCCCGCCGCCGCCATGGCCTACTGGCCTTCCGCCGCGCCGGGCCCGCCGCCTTTTCCGGGTCTTTCCGCCGTAACCGGGGCCACTGCGCCCGGATTGGCCCCCGGGATGATCGGCGCAGCGGTCGCGCCGTCTGCGCCGGGGATGATGCACGGAATGACGATGGCCGGGATGCAGCCAATGGTGTGCGGCCAGGTGGCAGGCATGGGTCAGTCTCCGTATATGGCGGCGGGTCAGCCAGGGGGACCTGCGGCTGAGGCTGCAGCGGCGGCAGCGGCGGCGTATCAACGGGCGCTGTACCAGCAGCATTACGCGCAGCCCGCGCATGCGCATGCGCATGCGGCGGCGCAATCGGCGCAACAGCAGCAACATCAACAACAGCAGAGTCAGCAGCAAGACGCTAACGCGCAGCAATCTCAGGACCAACAGCAACAGCAGCAGTCGGAACAAGATGCCGCGCAAGCGCAAGAGCAAGCCAACTGCGCGGGATTACCCCAAGCGCTCGGCGCGCGGGCGTTCTGTCCCCCGACCACCACAGCCGTGGATCCCCGCTCCGCCGGGTCGTGCGCGGGAGCGCGACTCACGGGCAGAAGCGCAGCTTCTCCGGGCGCCGGCGGACCTGGTGGCGCGGGGCTCTCCGCTAAAGCCCCCGCGCACATGGGGTTCGGCGGAGGCGCTTGGGCGGCGAGTTACGGGGGAATAGGCGCTGGGGCAGGGGGCGCAGGCGGCGCAGCGATGCTCAACGGCCCGACTCCAGTTGGGGGCATGTGGGAGGCCTCCGCGGGAACTAGCGCGTTCGCGATCCCCATCCCCGCCGCGTTTCAACCACAGCCGTTCGCGAAAGCGGGGCTGCTCGCCCCTGCGCGTCTGTCCGGATCGACGGTGTGCCAGGCGCAGAGCCCGTCGGGGTGCCTGTCGCCCGTCACGAGCGGAACGAGCGGGACGAAAACGAGTCGCAGCCCCGAGGAGACGAGCCCCTGCGGAAGCCCGCCGCTGGTTGCGCCCGTCGCGCGGCGGCCGAAGCTGGTGCACTCGCCGATTTCTGCGGCTGCGAGATTTGTGCCGCGCGGAGCAGGAGTTTCCGTCCCCCGCACGGATTTTGCGCCGGGTGCGGTTCCCACCACCACCCCCTTCTGCTAGTGCGCTTGCGATTTGCCCCCTTCTTCGTTTCCTTCCGCCTTCTGTGAGCCGCCACTTCCCTTCGTTTCAATCTCAAATCGTTCCAACCCTAGTTGCGTTGCATTCGCCGGTAACATCTGCAGCTTTTTGTCTGATTAAGCCTAGTATTGTGCTCACTTGCAGATTTGTAGTGCCTCAGTGCCCTAGGCAGGTCCTCTCCACATATTTTTTCTGTGGTGGACTGGTTAGCTGACGCCACCATATTTTTATGATTTTCGTTTGTGATGCAGGTGTGGGAGTGGGTGGTGAGTGGGAATCCATGGGCTCCCCGAGTGCTGCAGAGGTGTTGGATGGACCTCCTCCTCTCGCTGCATGCTCCGCTGCTGCTTCAGATGATAGCAGGAGCAGCAAGCGGCAACAGCAACAGCAACAGCAGGAGCAGGAGCATCAGGAGCAGGAGCAGCAGCAGCAGCAGCAGCAGCAGCAACACCAGCAGCAGCAGCAACACCAGCAGCAGCAGCAACACCAGCAGCAGCAGCAACAGCAACAGCAGCAGCAGAAAGAGGAGAGGTCAGGGGGTCTACTTCAGCTGCTGTAAGTCATGTCACGCAGTCTGCTGCTAACTCCATCTGCGTTTTCGGGCTTGCTGCCCTCTGCAGAGATATTGACATTCTCCAACACAGCCTTAGGGGGACTTCTAGTAGGATCTTGCCTTAGCTGACACCACATGCACAATGCTTTGTGGTACAACCCTTGTAGAAGTTCGTTTTTTGGCTTGATTAATCTGGTATATATGGTACAACCCTTTTCTGCAGCTTTAATAGGCTGAGATCCGGTGTAGCGATGCAATTGGATTTTATTTCAATGAACTGTACCATTGTCACACGCAGGATCGTCTTGACTAGGTGCTGCCACATTGGGTGAAACAAGGTACGGAAACGTGGTTGTGCCACGTCTCATACCCAGCGAGCATTGCAGACCGCTGGTCAATACCCCTGTCAGCGAAGTGTTCGCGGTATGCAACCATGATTCGCGAAATGCTGACCTCTCTTCGTACGGCACAGTTACACAGCGTAGTTCCTTTCCTCCCAACTCAAGTCCTCCAAGTCGTCGGTACGGTGCTCCCAAGGTTGCTTTGCACCGTTCCGTTTTGCCTTCTGAAAAAGCTTATGTAGCTGTTTTGAAGATTACTTCACGCCTCGATTTTACCGATCCTCAGGATTGTTGAGAACTTGAGTGGCAAAGAATTCGCGTACGATCACGCGGTCCTCGGTAGTTGCAGCTGCTGCGTGACATCCCCTCCCTGCTGGACTCCTCTCTATTGAGCCTGCTCTGGGAAGTAGTGGTATTAGTCTGCAATGTCTCGGTATGTCGCTGCCGCCCAGGCTGACAGGGCTCTGAGCTCTCGCGAAGGTCGCCAAACCTGACGATTGCACCGCAATTTCTGCGAAGTAGGCCCTCGATTCCGATTAGTCACGAATTGTGGCGGAACTACACACTCGGCTCCGTTCAGACACACTTGACTGCGAAAACGACACTTGAATCGATCCAAACAACAGCTACTGCAAAATCAGACTCTTAAGTTCGGCAAAAAGCCTAGGTTTGGGTGAGGAAGCCGAATCAGGAGGACTCTATTAGGCTTCGCAGAAACTAGAGGAGAATAACGGAGGATAGAGGGAATTGGTGTAGAAACCACCAGGCTGAAAACGTGTTGTACCGCCGAGGGTAGAGCGGGTTGGTCAGGGTTCGCAGGGGGGTCAGAGGCGGTCGATCGAGGCAATAGAGGCGGGGACAGTAGAGGCCGGCGCGATGGACGATCGCACTAAGGGCCTGGTGCTGGCGGTGACGTCGAGCGTGTTCATCGGCGGCAGCTTCATCGTCAAGAAGAAGGCCCTCCGCATGTCCGCCGTCTCGGGTATCAGAGCCGGTGCGTGTCACGCCCGCTGGGTGGGACCAGCAGTTGGTGGGAAGGGTGGTGGGTGGAACGGGTGGTGGGTGGGACGGCTGATGGGTGGGAAGGGTGGTGGGTGGGACGGGTGGTAGGTGGGACGGGTGGTGGGTGGGACGGGTGGTGGTTGATGGAGCTGGTGAGTGTGAGAGGCGGTGACGTGAAGGTTAGCGCATGCGGCTTGAAGCTGATGTCGTTACCTGATCTAAGGCCATACCGCCTGATGACCAACAATTTGCTGACTTGATTGCTTGCGTAGTGACTGTGTACGGCTTTTGATGGCATCCGCTGACCCGCTTGGTGTGCGGATGGATGGTGAATGCATGGATGCATAATGCCTGCATGAATGGATGATGCATGCATGAATGGATGGTGCACGCATGAATGGATGGTGCACGCATGAATGGATGGTGCATGCATGAATGGATGGTGCATGCATGAATGGATGGTGCTTGCGTGAGTGTATGGTGCATGCATGAATGGATGGTGCATGCATGAGTGGATGATGCATGCATGAATGGATGGTGCATGCATGAATGGATGGTGCCCGCATGGTTGGTGATGCATGCATGTGCAGGCATGGGAGGTCATTCATACCTCAAGGAGCCACTGTGGTGGGTCGGAATGATATCCAGTGAGTTCCCTGCCTCCTCTCGCAACCCCGCTGCCCCTCTCCCCGTTCCACCTCCTCCCACCTCCCTGCTTCCCACCATCACCCCTCGCATGCACCCCTCGCATGCCAGCCCACGATCTCATCCACGCCATGCCATGCCACTAGTGCACGGCTTCGCGCTCCCTCGTCTCATCCACGCCAGGCCACTCCCCCTGGCATGCACGGCTTCGCCATGCTACTCCTGCACGGATTCGCCTCAAGCTTACATCCTCCCTGTCCGTGCTCAGTCGTCACTCCGTTTCCTCACCCCCCTTCCTCACCCTTCCTCTCCCTGCCGGCTCACCTCTCATCCTCCCTCCTGTAACTTAGCCCCTCCCTTCCTCTTCCCTTTGGCTCCGTTTGCCCCTAGGCGCTTCCATGGGACCATGTGACTGTACACCCAATCCAAGTGATTCTGTGCCCATGCGACCACTCATGTGCGAATGCAACTACCCGTCCCCCATGCACCCATGCCCCTGTGCACCCATGCCCCTCTATCCGCCAGTGGTGTTGGGAGAGTTTGCCAACTTTGCAGCGTACGCCTTTGCACCAGCCATCCTCGTCACACCGCTGGGCGCGCTCAGCATCATAATCAGGTGCGCTCAGCATCATAATCAGGTGCTCTCAGCATCATAATCAGGTGCGCTCAGCATCATAATCAGGTGCGCTCAGCATCATAATCAGGTCCTCTCAGCATCATAATCAGGTGCTCTCAGCATCATAATCAGGTGCTCTCAGCATCATAATCAGGTGCTCTCAGCATCATAATCAGGTGCTCTCAGCATCATAATCAGGTGCTCTCAGCATCATAATCAGGTGCTCTCAGCATCATAATCAGGTGCTCTCAGCATCATAATCAGGTGCTCTCAGCATCATAATCAGGTGCTCTCAGCATCATAATGAGGTGCTCTCAGCATCATAATGAGGTGCTCTCAGCATCATAATCAGGTGCTCTCAGCATCATAATCAGGTGCTCTCAGCATCATAATCAGGTGTTCTCAGCATCATAATCAGGTGCTCTCAGTATCATAATCAGGTCCTCTCAGCATCATAATTAGGTGCTCTCAGCATCATAATAAGGTGCTCTCAGCATCATAATCAGGTGCTCTCAGCATCATAATCAGGTGCTCTCAGCATCATAATCAGGTGCTCTCAGCATCATAATCAGGTGCGCTCAGCATCATAATCAGGTGCGCTCAGCATCACAATCAGGTGCTCTCAGCATCATAATCAGGTGCTCTCAGCATCATAATCAGGTGCTCTCAGTATCGTAATCAGGTCCTCTCAGCATCATAATCAGGTGCTCTCAGCATCATAATCAGGTGCTCTCAGCATCATAATCAGGTCCTCTCAGCATCATAATCAGGTGCTCTCAGCATCATAATCAGGTGCTCTCAGCATCATAATCAGGTGCTCTCAGCATCATAATCAGGTGCGCTCAGCATCATAATCAGGTGCTCTCAGCATCATAATCAGGTGCTCTCAGCATCATAATCAGGTGCTCTCAGCATCATAATCAGGTGCTCTCAGCATCATAATCAGGTGCTCTCAGCATGATAGTCAGGTGCTCTCAGCATCATAATCAGGTGCTCTCAGCATCATAATCAGGTGCTCTCAGCATCATAATCAGGTGCTCTCAGCATCATAATCAGGTGCCCTCAGCATCCTCATCAGGTGCCCTCAGCATCCTCATCAGGTGCCCTCAGCATCCTCATCAGGTGCCCTCAGCATCCTCATCAGGTGCCCTCAGCATCCTCATCAGGTGCCCTCAGCATCCTCGTCAGGTGCCCTCAGCATCCTCATCAGGTGCCCTCAGCATCCTCATCATCATTGCACTGTTTTGCAAGCCTACCGTGTTCGTAGATGCTGCTATGTTTGTGTGCAGCGATACCCGTTTCTTTTCTCAACTCTCTTTCACATTTCTCATGTCAATGGTCGCCTTCCTGTCTGTCTCTTGTTGGCCTCCACTTTTCTCACTTGTCTCCCTTTCTCCCTCTCTGTCCCCTCCCCATCAAAACCTCCCCACCCCCTGCCATTTTGGCAGCGCCATACTAGCGCACATGCTGCTGGACGAAAAGCTGCACGTGCTGGGGTGGCTGGGGGCGACGCTGTGTGTGGTGGGGTCCATAGCCATCGTGCTGCACGCCCCCCAGGAGAAGGACATCGACAACGTCAAGCAGCTCTGGGCGCTCGCCACTGAACCAGGTAGGAACGCTCGGCACTGCCGAACCAGATAATACTAGGCACTGCCGAGCCAGATAAGAATGCCTCGGCACTGCCGAACCAGATAATAATGCCTCGGCACTGCCGAGCCAGATAAGAATGCGTCTGTACTGAGCCAGCCAGGTGGGGCTCTCGCCTTGGCTGCAGTGAGGCCTGATGTATGTGGCATTGCCTGGTGCCCACTCACTACACCAGTGCCTCCTCTGCTGCCTGAATCCTTCAGTACCACATTCCATTGCTCTCCCTCCCTCCCATACCCTCCCCCATGCACTTCCCCTACACAGCGTTTGTGAGCTACTCAGTGACGACGCTGGCAATCAGTGTGTTCCTCATCTTTGTGCTGGCGCCACGCTACGGCTCCACCAACGTCCTCGTCTACCTCGCCATCTGCTCGCTGCTCGGCTCCATCTCCGTGAGTGTGCTCTTCACACGCTCTTCACACGCTCTTCACACGCTCTTCACACGCTCTTCACACGCTCGTCACACGCTCTTCACGCTCTCTTGACACGCTCTTGATGTGCTCTTGGCATGCTGTTGTGATCTTCGTGAGTGTGCAGCTGACACACAGTCGTGCTCTCTGTCTCTCTGTGCCATTTTCGGGTCATGTCAAGCTCGGCTCTGCCTCCTTGAGTGTGCCCTTGACATCTGTGATATCCTCTCTCACTCTACCTCCTCCTTTTACAGAAGTGGCAGCATGACATGCCCTGATTTGTCAACCCCTCACTCTTGTCAGCATCTTATGCCACATGTGTCGCCACTGCTGCATTTTCCTGCGTGTGTCCTGCTTTTTCCATGCATGTGTTCCTGCGTGGGCCGCCAGGTGGCGAGCTGCAAGGCCCTAGGGATTGCAGTGAAGCTGACCCTGTACGGAGACAACCAGCTCTTCTACCCTGAAACCGCCTTCTTCGCCGTCGCCCTCGCTGCCTGTGCTGTCACACAAATCAACTACCTCAACAAGGTGCGTGCACCTCTAATGGCCCAAGCCCTGGATCCGAACCACTTGAACAACAAGGTGCGCAAGCTGACTGCACAGCCAGGGATCACAGCTGGTTGTCACCGTTCAGTGTTCAACACAGCAGTGTTCTTGACGCCTACCCGTAGTGATTTACGTACACCACGCTGACTGTCGTGTGATGCTTTCTCCCCGCCATACAGGGTCCTTGCCCGTCGTCCCCGCCTTCTCTTCCCCTCTTCATTTCCCCCCTTCTCTCCCCCTCTCACTGTTCCAGTCGCTAGACACGTTCAACACAGCAGTGGTGACGCCCATATACTACGTCATGTTCACCACGCTCACCATAGTGGCCTCTGTGATAATGTACAAGGACTGGGCGGGGCAGACAGGGGAGCAGGTGCTCATGGAGTTCTGCGGCTTCCTCACCATCCTCATCGGCACCTACCTGCTCCATGCCACAAAGGACTTTGCGGGAGACTCCTCCCGCCTGCACCTCTTCGACCCCTCTGCTCGTACGTGCTCTCCCTTCCCCTTCTCTCCTGTGTGCTCTCTCTTCCCCACGTCGTCCCTCACTAAAGTGCACCACCATTGTGTTTTCTTCATCACTTCTCTCTGTATGCCCCCTGATGATCACCTTTTTCTCGTCCTCCGCCCCTGCACTCCCCCACAGGAGTCACGCCTGCCAAGAACCCGACAGCCCTCAAGGGGCACATAGGGCTGGGCACGATGCCATCTGGGGGCTCCAAGGATGATAAAGACGACCTTGACCCCGAGGCCAAACCGCTGCTGTGACCTGTGCTTGGCTGCTCTGCATTGCCGCATGACATGCATGATTTGTTTCATATAGATCTTGTTTATTCTGGTGGTGTTGTATTGTGGTTGCTTTTCAAGTCGCACAATGAAGCCCCCACCCAACTACTTAGAACCAGTTGTCACATGTGCATAATTCAGTCCACCAATATCTCAAAGGGGCCCTGAGAATGTTGACGTTTGCACAATAGCTGAAAGTTAGCTTCAGGCCAAGGTTTGTATTCCAGGAGGGGTATTAGGCCTATATGTGGTTGCAACAGTAATGCACAGACTGTTGCTAGATCCCAGAATGTACACTTGTTCGATATACTTTTTATCGCAACTTCACATAACCAAGAACTCGTCCGACCTCGCACCGAGGTTTCTGTTTCCCTCCAAAAATTTCAAATGTTCGCTCTGACGGAACTTGCCAGGGCCTTTGTCAGCCAATCCCCGCCTCTCCCTGGTGATCCGAACCTCATCGTTTCGAGCCTCCTGTGAGTGAGGTACCATGCTTGGCGGAATTCAGCCGCCATGACGGTGGGAGTTCCCTTGGTTTCTTCTTTCAGTTTGGAGGCTCGTGGGGTTAGTTGAGAGCGGGATGAGGCAGCTCCCTTGGTTTCTCCTCGGCGGAATCAACCACATGTTCTACTTGCCTCTACTTGTCGCTTCCTTCGCTCCACTTGCACTATCTTTCAAGCCTGCCGTTTTCTTATCTCCGATCTGGCTCCTTCTCCAGCAGTGTCAGCTGCTGGTCGCACTAGCCGCTAGTTCACTCGCATGGCTGCACTTGAAGTCAAATCATATTTATATTTGCCGCGACTTCGTCTGGCAATCGATAATCATATTAATGACAGTTTAGCCGAATGTAGTGAGGACGTTGTCAAGTCGTGGCGGATTGGGATTCCAAGTTACGAAGGTATCATAAGTCAGTTCAACTGGATCTGATCCCGCGGATATGACGTTAACCTGCTAGTCTAGACGGCGTTCCAGTTGAGACGGATAGCAGGACGGCGTTCCAGTTAAGAAGGATAGCAGGACGGCGTTCCATTTGAGACGGATAGCAAGCCGTCAAGCGAGGTCTCCTCGTAGAGGCAACGCCGCCGCTGCTTCCAGCGGCGTAGCCTCTGCTTCCACCGTGAATGCAGCGTCGCTGCTGTTTTCATCATCAACGCGACGTAAGCCTCTATTTCCGCCAATAATGCAAAATTGTCGCTGCTGTACCCACCAAAGCTTAGCTACTTGTTCCGCTGGAGAAGCAACGACTTAGCTGCTCTTGGCGTCGAAGCTTACCAGCAACGGCGCTGTTGTTTTCGACGTCAACGCTAGGTCGCTGCTATTTCCGCGATAGATCGGCGTCGCTGCTGTTTCCGCCGTCAAAGCGACGGAGCTGCCGTTTCTGCCGTCAAAGCGACGGAGCTGCTGAATCCGTCGTCATAGCGACGGAGCTGCTGAATCCGTCGTCATAGCGACGGAGCTTCTGAACTCCGCCGTTAAAATACCGTCGCTGCATTTTCTGCCATCACACGAAGTTGCAGAACGTCCTTGACTTTGTAAGTGTGATGGGAAGAGCTTTCATCGTGGGTGAGCAAAAATCAGGGGATTAAGCGCAGAGTTTCAGTCTGACATCCCTTGCGCTAGTCTCCCCCTCCTTCTTAGCGAACCTAACCAACTATTTCTTCTTGTCTCTGTTTCTGTTTATGGCAGGCACGCCTGTCTCTGCTTGCGTCTGCCTCATGGTCTCCTCCAGGCCCGCGTGTAAGTGGCGGAGCGATCCATCAATGTGCAGCATTAGTGTGTTTCAGAAGCGGGTCAAAGGCAGCGACGCGGTGGCGATCACAACGAGAGCAAAGACTGCAGCAGCAGCAGCAGCAGCAACCGAGCAACCAGGGGCACCACGCCTCAAGTGGCGGAGCGGCAGAGAGGCAGAGCGGCGGACGGAGCGCGGTACGTGCCAGGGGGTGCTTGCAGGGGGGCAATGAAGTGAGTCGTAGGACGTCGCCGCGCAGAGGCAAGAGTCGTGGCTGTTGCCCTTGCCTCCACCATTCGCCTCCTGCTGCTTCTTACCCTCCAATGATGCACCGCTTCTGTGTGCGTGTCCCTCTTCCCGTGCGTGTGAGTGTGTCTCACGGCCTGCGAGGCGGATGGGAATGGCAGGTAGTGGACGGGGAATGGCCGGGGCTGCCGTTGCTGGCTCGCACCAGAGACAATCTGCAGCAGCTCGCCTCAAGTGAAGGCGTGGCGCAGCAGTCGGAGAGCGGCAGACGGAGCGCGGTACGTGCCAGTGGGTGCTTGCAGGGGGGCAATGAAGTGAGTCGTAGGGCGTCGCCGCGCAGAGGCAAGAGTCGGTTCTGTTGCTTGCTGCTCCGACACTCTCTTCCTGCTGCATCTAACCCTCCCTTGTTTTGTTGCTTCTGTTTGGCTGACTCTCTCTCCCCATGCGTGTGTGTGCCTCACGGCCTCCGAGGAGGAGGGGAATGGCACCGCGTAGACGCGGAATGACATGGAGTGGACGCGGAATGGCATGGAGTGGGCGCGGAATGGCATGGAGTTGGTGTGGAACGGACGGGACTTTCGTTGCTGCCTCGCTCGAGTGTCATCCCAAAGCAGCACGCGTGAAGTGATGGCGTGGCGCAGGAGTGGGACAGCGGCGGGCTTAGGGCGTCGCCGCGCAGAGGCAAGAGTCCTTGCCCTTTCCTCCACCATTCGCCTCCTTTCCTACTGCTTCTAACCCTCCTTATTGCGCTGCTTCTGCGTGCCTCTCTCCCCTCGTGTGTGTGTGCCTCATGCCTGTGAGACAGGGAATGGCAGGGAGTGGACGGCGGGTGACAACTGTGCGGGCTTCGTTCCTGCCCGAGACGCAGCAGCAGCGCTGGTGAATGCAGCACCACTGGTGCCTTGAAGCAGCAGGAGCAGCGCTAGTGAATTCAACAGCGCATTGACTTTTCAGGCAAGTATGATCTCATGTGAATGCTTTGCCTTTTGTGATGCCAAGCGCTCATGCTTGTACCGCACGTTCTTCACTGTACTCATCTCTGAAATCTCACAACTTGCTGGTTTTGGCCTGACTCACAAGCCGCGGTCCCTTCTCATTGCAGGCAAGTTGGAGCAGCACGCCTAGCACCTGAAGCATGGGCCGCAGCAGGTGCTGCTTGGGTCGAATGTAAGGCACAAGAGTGGCAGCCTCTGCTAAGGAGGAGAAGTGGTTTGTGCCAGGGGTTGCTTGCAGGGGGGGCGTGAAGTGAGTCGTAGGGAGTCGCCGCGCAGAGGCAAGAGTCGTGTCTGTTGCTCTTGCCTCCTCCACTCGCCTCCTTTCCTGCTGCTTCTAACCCTCCCTTGTCGCGCGCCTTCTGTGTGTGTTTCTCTCTCCCCATGCGTGTTTGTGCCTCACGTCCTGCGAGACGTACGGGAATGGCAGGTAGTGGATGGGGAGTCGACGCGGCGGCTGCTGCTGGCTCGCACTAGAGACAGCAAGGAGGAGCACGCCTGATGTGTAGGCATGGCGTAGCAGTGCCGGACGGAGTGTGGTACGTGCACGGAGGGGTGCTTGTAGGGGGACCGTGAAGTGAGTCGCCGCACAGAGGCAAGAGTCGTGTCTCTTGCGTTTGCCTCCGCCACTCGCCTCCTCTCCTGCTGCTTCTAACCCTCCCTTGTTCCACTTCTGTCTGCGTGCGTCTTTCCCTTTGCGTGCGTGTGCCTCATGGCCTGTGAGATGGGAAATGGCAGGGAGTGGGAAGTAACAAGTGTGCGGGTCTCGTTCTTGCCCGAGACACAGCAGCACCGTTGGTGAATGCAGCAGTGTTGGCGAATGCAGCAGCGCTGGTGACTTTTCAGCCAAGTATTTTCTCCTCCGAACGCTTTGCCTTTTGTGATGCCAAGCGCTCATCCCTTGTATTGCACGTGCTGCACTGCTCTGTCCTCTTGAACTCTTGCGAGGTTGCTTTTGGCCCAACTCAGAAGCCACAGTCTATCCTTATTGCAGGTATCAGCAGCAGATAACCAGCAACCTGGAGCAGCAACGTCTTAATTCTGGAGCACAGGCCGCAGCAGGTGCTGCTTGGGGCGAATGTGCGGCGCAGGAGTGGCAGGATATGCCAAGGAGGAGAAGTGGTACGTGGCATGGGGTGCTTGCAGAGGGGGAGTGAAGTGAGTCGTAAGGCGTCGCTGCGCAGAGGCATGAGCCGTGTCTGTTGCTTTTGCCTCCACCACTCGCCTGCTTCTAACCCTCCCTTGTTGCATTGCTTCTAACCCTCCCTTGTTGCATTGCTTGTAACCCTCCCTTGTTGCATTGCTTCTAACCCTCCCTTGTTGCATTGCTTCTAACCCTCCCTTGTTGCATTGCTTCTAACCCTCCCTTGTTGCATTGCTTCTAACCCTCCCTTGTTGCATTGCTTCTAACCCTCCCTTGTTGCATTGCTTCTAACCCTCCCTTGTTGCATTGCTTCTAACCCTCCCTTGTTGCATTGCTTCTAACCCTCCCTTGTTGCATTGCTTCTGTGTGGCTGTCTCTCTCCTCATGCGTGTGTGTGCCTCACGGCCTGCGAGACGGACAGAGGGGGATGGAGCGGACGGGGAATGGACGAGAGGCAACCAATTAGCAAGGAGAAACGGCGGCTATTTTCCTGCTAAGTTTCTTCAAGTCAAGAGGTAACTGGGAGTTCAGATGCACCATGCATGGCATTCTATCACAGTCCCTTCTCCAGCTTTCGTCTGCCATCTCATCCACTCGCTTCTGCCCGGCCTCTCATCCACTCACTTGTCCTCTTCCTGCTCAGACCTCGCTTCCTCTTCCTTGACTTCCCTCCTCCCCTCACCTCCAGGCTCCAGCACTCAAGGGGCAGTGATCACCAGTGGCTGCAGCAACGGATCACCAATCGCTGCAGAACCTGCAGGGTGATGGCGAGCATACAAGGAGTTGTGAGTCCATCAGATCAGCCAGTACACTGCTTCTCCATTCACCGTCTTGTTGCGTTCTCGTGTTTAGTTCGGTCGTGTCTACCATC